ATAATAATAATAATAATAATAATAAAGCAAAAGGGAAAGCAAAGGTGTTGGCTGTTGCTTCCTCTAGCAGGGCCACTGATTTAAAGCAAAAGGGTAACAAAACACAGCAAATAAAACACTGACATACTTGGCTCCCAACATTTGAGATTATTATCCTAGATCCCTAAATGTCCCACCATTGTCTCTCCTGAGTTTGAGAAGCAGTGACAGCTGAAGTCTGGGCCTGGCTTGCATTTTTTAATCTCGATACTGTATTAGGAGTTTGCTTTTGCAAGTCCCAACCCACCACCCCTTGCACCCCACTAGACAGAGTGGCTCTCACTCACCCAGGACAATAGCGAGCATCTGTGTAGCCTTTCTCTCCCGAAGCTGGATCAGCCGGGGCTGCTGGTGGGCGAGCTTCAAAGAGCTGATGGTTCTGCCATCACTGAGCCTCCGTACCTCCAGGCCTTGCTTCGTACTCTTTCTCCTCTCTTCCAGCCTGCTGTGTTGTGTAGTCCCTGGTGTCTTGGTGAGGGATGCCTCGTGGCAGAAGCTGCGGTACCGCTGCAGGCTCAAGACAGTCAGCAACTTCCTTTTGGTAGATATCTCCTGGCTTGAGCATTTGAGTGGGAGACAGGGGGAAAAGGTGCCTTGGCATCTGTTTGGCAAAGCTTTTCTCTCCATGTGTTCCTGCAAAAGAGAATGCCACAGAGGAACTGGGAACCATCCAAAACATTCATTGGGTGAAAGGATGATGAGGAAAATTGTAGGAGTCATCCTTAGCCCCATTTGCTTTTAGATTTGTACCATATCCTTTGGACTGACCCTGGCTTATCAGAGGGGTGAACCAGCACTGGACAACTCTACCTCCATCCCACCAAGGAGAAACATGAGAACAAGGAGAGCTGAAACACCTGCTCTGCTAATCTTCACTTCTATTTTTGTGCCTGCCCTGCTCCCCTTAGCATACCCACCCATTTTTAATGTAGCTTCACTGTGAGAAAATGGGTAAAACAAGCGGGTATGCGTGACCAGGCGATTAAACCATTGTGCTGGTTCCCATGGTTGCAGATATTTCCATCTAGAAAGGTCAGTGGAACAAATGCTGCATGCACCATGAGCATTTTGACCTCTTAAGTCTGTCAGATGAAGAAATTGTTTTGTTTTGTTGGTGTTTGGTTTTTGGGTTTTTTTCAATAATCTAGGTTAAAGCCTGAGAAGCCCTGAGAATGAAGCTTTATAGAGCAAAAATCAATAAATGAAAAAAATTAGCCAGACTTCTGCTTGGCTAAGAAACCCCTGCTCTGAAGAAATATCAAAGCAGGCTGTGCTCTCTTCTAGTTGCCTGGTTCTACAGGGCAGAGATAGACAGGGAGTGTCCTCTTTCTAGGGGGCTGAAAAGGATTTAACTGGAGCTTCTGCATCTCAAATGTCATGGTGTATGAGTGAGGGATGGGATGAAAGCATGCTATGTTCCTTCTTTATGCTTTCTGTTCTATGCTTTGACCCTTTGAGGAGAAGAAGTGATGTCGGTTTTGACAGCTCCTGCTGTGTTTATGTGGATCTTACTTTGTGCGCATAACATGGTTTGGTGCTGGCGCTGTGGCTGCCCTGCCGGGTGAGGGTTCGCTTCTTTTGCCTTTGTCTTAGCACGAGGTAAATCCGGACATAGAGCAGCAGGGTCACCATGAAAGGGAGGTAGAAGGACACCAAAGAGGAGTAGATGATGAAAATAGGGTTGGATATGGAACAGACACTGGGATCCCCTGGGGAGGAGAAGAGAGAGAGAGAGAGAGAGAGAGAGAGAGAGAAGCAGCTGAGCTGCTTCAGTTTAGTACAAGGAAGCTCTGGTGCATTGGCAAAGCAAGCTGAAAGGTGGCCGGGGGACAAAGGCAGTCTAATGAGTGCAAGCATCTCCTGTCTCTGTTATTGCAATTTACACCGTGTCCTACCCCACTCACCTGATGGTTAAAATGGACTCTTCCTAGGGCCACCTAGCATGACCCAGCATGCACCTGCCTGCTTTTCTGACCAACAGCTCTGCCCTCTTCTCTCATGGCTATCCCCATCCTTTCTCAGAGGATCCTTTCTCCTTTTCCCCTGACAGCCTCTCAGCTGTCTAGATGCAGAGGTGTGCCTTCACCCCCAGCTGTCTGGACCAGGCAGTGGAGGACAGCAGCACCTCCCACCCCCTATACCCATCTTGCCTCAAGCACTGCAGAAAGTATGGATGGGGAGCAGAGGACTTCTGCCTGTGGCTTGGGGGTAGGAAGGCTGTCCTGCTCCTCTGCCTTCAGGGAGAACAGGCTGTCCTACGTGAGGGCAAGGAGAGTGACCAATCTGCTTCCAAGGGGGGAGCTAAATTGTTTGCCCTGCTCAAGGGATTAGGTGAGGAAGCAGACACCCAGATGGAAAGATTTCTCACAAGCCGTGCCAATATGCAATCCTTGCTGTTTAGAAATGTGTCCTGTTTCAGATTTAAAACTGTGTCAGGGCCTGTTATCGGCAAAATGCAGTAAGTCTGGTGTGTGTGTGTGTCTGTGTGTTGGATGTGCTGCATTTCTGGAGATTTGCTCTGTGTGTGCAGAGTGATTGTTTGGGGGGATTTGTAGACCTGGACACTTTGATGGGCATTGATTTGGCACTAAAGCAGGCAGGTCCGTCCTCAGACCAATAGTCAGTGTCTGCCTGAGCAAATAGCAAGTTTATAGACAAGAGCGCATCTGTTCCACAGCACTGAGGACTTTTCTTACCCTTTATAGTGTGCTTTCCAGTTCCCTAAAATTTCCTGTAACTTGGAAAGTCTGCAGGACCCACGTTAAATGACCTGGTTATACACAGGGCAGCTCCATTTCCAACCCCTCCCTGTGTGTTATTATTTGGGACACCACCTACCTGTAGTATTGAAGCCGAAGAGGAGAGGACATGACACTGAAAATGCCAGCATCCAGACTATCACGATCATGAGAGAGACCCTCCTGCAGGAACTCTGCCCAGTGCTGTACTGGTACTGAACTGGTTTCACCACTGCGGTGTATCTGTGGACCAAACCAGCTCCAGAAAGAGGAGAGGTAAGAATGGAGAGAGGAAAAGGACCAGGTTTTAAAAGGAGAAATGAAAGCCGCATAGGGAACATGATGGTGAATGTGGTAAAGAAATGGAAGAGGAAAGAAGATCAGATGATGGGATCAGCAATTTTTAGAAATGGTGAGTGGGACATAGTGGGGAGAAACAGAGAAAAGCAGAATTAGTTGGCAGCACTGCAAATGCTCTGCAGAACTGCTGGCATTGTGAAGCTACATGGCTTGGGATACCAGATCGATCTAGAAACCTCAGGAAACCCCCATCCCTCAAGCCCCTAAGGTTATATGTGCACTGCTGGGAAAGAGCAGTCTCTGGAACAACTACAACCTGCTACACTCTGTGCCTCAGCTGCCCGCTCTGGTGTTGGCCCTAGGAGACGCAGTTCAGCAAGGCTAGGGTTTGGAAGGCACAGGAATCTTGTCTTTAGGATACCCTGGGAGCTGCTTCTTGCAGACAGAGCCAAAATGAACCGGGGATAAAGATTCCTATAGAGGAACACCAGACCAACCCAGTGCTGGGAGCTGCTTTGTACAATTACTCTTGAACCATGGTACAAAGGTAGAGCATGCAGTGTCTTTTCTGTCCCCCATTCACCGGTTCTGACTACCTACTGGTGATGTTTTATTGCTTGTGCCCTTTTGCTCTTAAGTGCAGACATCTTCTAGCACATGGCAGGCAGAGCCATATTCATAGCAGTAATGGCAGTGATAGCCTTACAGGGAGGTTTGTGATCCTGAAGACACTGATGCTGCCAGTGCAGACCCCACTTCGTTGTCCCTGCTGCACTAGGGTACAGGGTCGACCCTCATCTGGAGGTTATCCCCCTGGATGCTGTTGGCTCTCACCTGTCAATGCTGATAGCACAGAGGTTTAAAATGCTGGCTGTGCACATCATTACGTCCATGGTGACGAAGATATCGCAACAGATGCGGCTGAAAGTCCAGACTCCTCCTGTCACCTGCGTCAGCAACCACAAAACGGTCAGCCTTATTCTGCACCCAGTCCTGATAAGTTATGTATAAGGAGGTGCTCTCCTCCAACTATCTCAAGGGCTAGATGAGTTAATGTCCACTGTGATGTGCAGCAGGAAACTGAGGCACCTATGTTGTACGCAAGATAACACAACAGTAGGGCATGGAGAGGGAGCCACATCTTGATTTCAAGCCTTTAGTTACTCGTATGGGTGGGGCAGGGTGAAGAAATAGATAGCAGCTATCCCTTCCCTTAAGGTCTAGCATGATAAATTGATTTAAATTTGATATCACTGTATATATCCTTTGATTAAGGATTATATGAGGAAAATCTAAGGGCTGAAAGTGTTTCTCAGCTTAGTTGCTGGAGCTCTCTTGCAGGCAGTGAGCTGGAAAAGTGCTGCAAATTTTATGACTTTATGTATGAAACAGAGACCTGAGACCCCAAGCTTCTCTAAAACCTTATTTGGATTCCTATCTCAGTTACAGATTTTGATTATTAGATCAGAGTGAGAACTCACAAGCTATTCAGATAAAGGGTTTTGGTTTGCTACCATGTCAAGCTTGTGTTCTGGTTGTTTTGAATTTTTAATCTGAAGTGTGTAATCATAAAAGTTTAGTTGTGGCTAGTCTTTGTGATGGAGAAGTGCATTTTTTGGCCTAGCCATCATGTTCTTGACAATGACCTTTTTGGTTGACAACAATATTCTCCAAGCACCATGTGGCACCACTGTCCTGGGGGCTGGGATGATAGCCTGAAGCCAAGCGAGGTGGTCTGCCTCAGCACTCACCCCTTGCAGGAGATGAGCAAGAAGGCAACCTGCCCTGCAACAGATAAACCCATTGGATGAGTACAGAAAACAAATGTAATGCTATGCTGTTTGGAGAAGGGGGGTAGGAGAGAAAGAAAGAGAGAGATGTGTCCCTGCTTGGAGTGAGCCTGGATTTTAGCCTTCAAACCTGTAGATCCTGCTGGTTCAGCTGGATCCTGGGAAGCTATCAGGAACTGGCACTAGTTCCTGGTCTCTTTGCTTACATTTAGACTGCACCTGGTTTGGGGGCCCCAGGACAGGAAAAAATATTGATAAATGGGAGTGAGTTCTGCAGAGGGCCATCAAGGCAGTCCCTGTGTGCTGGAGCACTTGTCTGGTGGGCAGCATCTAAGGGAACAGGGCTTGTCTGGTCTGGAGATGAGGTGGCTTTGGGGGGAGTGGTTAATAGAAGTCACCTAGTGCGTAGTGCAATGTTATTAAGAAAGTTGGAGCCAGGTTTTTCACAGCAGTGTGTGGTGGGTGGACTAGAGGCAACAGGCATAAGTTGAAAGAAGACTGCTTAAGAAGGTAAACTTTCTGACCATGAGGACAGTGAGACAGCGGAGCTGGTTGGTTGGTGAGTCTGTGCATGCTCCATCCTTGGAGGTTTCCAAGACCCTTTCAGAAATACCCATCCCAGATCAGGCTGGAGAGGGTGCCACAAATAAACTTGACTTCTAAGGCAGTGGGTCAACCCTGCAGCAAGTGTCGATGCCTAGGAAGGACATGGCTCCCTGCAGAGAGAAACACTTGTATAAATAAAGAATTTGTATTTATAACTCTGTGTGAGTTGTTTTCAGAGTTGTTTAAGAAATAATCCCAAGAAACTGGAATGGTTGGGATTGTGCCAGCATTCCT